ATTAGAATAAGCTCGAGCAGATAACATGTCTATTATATATTTATGTTAGCTTTAATGGACTCTATCCTCTGATCGTCATCTTCGAACAAAAAAAAGTAAGCACCAGAAGTACTGTTTTAAAGAACTGATTTTATTAGATTGGCTATTAAATTTCCCAAGGTATTATTATAATGTAATTGATAGAAGTGGTATGAAAATGTTTTTATTATAAGTTATATTGTAATTTAATTATTTATTTATAAACAATAAAAACTAATAATTAGTTATTTCTTATTATTACTTGGAGGTTAATGATTATTCGATTAATTTTTTTAATCTATTTTATATAAGATTTAGCTTTATATAATAGTAATTTCGTATATAGAATCTTTGCAAATTTATCAATTTTAGAAGAAATAAGGTATAGGAAAATTAATTGTGTACCATCATAAATTTATGTTTCAAAAACATATAGATCAAAGGAGTTGATACTAATATATATGTAAAGACATATTTAAGATTGGTACTCTTAATTATTATTATTAGATGTAAAATAAAACTTGTTAAGAGTGAAAAATATTAAATAAGTCTGAAGTTTTCCTCACAATGGTCATAATATGTATTAATTATAAATGATTTGTAGAGAAATATCTTATATATTTGATATACAATTTATATTGAGATAAGTAAGTAATATCACACATTAGTAATAATATATATTAAATTTATTGAGTTTATAGCTTGTAAATTTACACACATAGTATGAGTTTATAAGTAATTATCACCTGTAGGAACAAAAAATCACAACAGTTAGCTAAGTTGTAGACCAAGTAAACAATTATCATCATTATTAATGAGTGTAAATTCTTAGAATTATGAGTTTGGCGATAATTAATGCTCATTAAGGTTAGATTTTTATAAAATAAGTCTTTAAATTAATTATATAAGTTATATGTTTCAATTTTTAATTTTGTTTAATCTTTTGTCTCATTATTTGTGAATGAAAATACATCATTAATTATGGTTAATTTTCTAATTTTTAATAATATTATTATTATTTATTAGGTCACATCTGATTCAACCGGTCAATTTGTGAACCTCTCCTTCTCCGTGGTTCAATTGTTTGGCTTACTTTCTCAACACTTGATTGGTAAAATTCAAAAATATAATTAAAAAAAAAAAAATTTTCAAAAGGTAAATATTTGACTAATATGTTTCCAACCTATTTGCCTTATAATTTGGTGAGTCTTTTATGCTTGAAACCTAATTATGTATTTGTGTATTTGTGGGTTCATATAATGAAAGGAGAGTACCAGGTCTATTATATTGAGTGTACGATTTTTGGAGCGATAACGATTAATAATATATCTATATATTTGTAGACTACAGGATTACATCAGCCGGGGAGTTCTGCCTTTTACAGGTGGAGCATCCATTTCCATGATGATCGAGAGTGCAGGCTGCCAGTGCATTCTAATCAGCTGGATTCCTATATAGCATTTTTTCCAATGTTTTTTGCATTGTTCTCAATGGATTTTTTATTGAAATTTTTTTTAAGCATGAAGTAGCGTCCCAACTTTCTAGAAGCATCGCTATATTTGTAATAAGTTTTTTTTTTTATATTAGATATAACATAGCTTTTAAAAAAAAACCGGAACCCGGAAACCGGCCGGGTCATCTATTCAAAGGCCGGTTGACGCGAAGACACGCGAACACCGGTAGTGACACCCTGGGCACGGGCTATTTACCAATTCTGTTTCACATATTATGGATATATCTCGGTTTGTATATCAGAGAGAGCAACCCTAAGATGCGCTGCGATTCACCGTTGACGGCGGTTGAACCGTGCGCTCGACCCTGCCCTATTATCGAATAAAATCACACGGCACCTTTGTTGATTATTTTTGTTTTGCTATATATATCTTTATTATTCACCGGCAAGTCACCGAAGAAGAAAGAGAGAATTCGTTGCTTAAGAGGCTAGAGTAACTGTTCGTCATTTTGAGGAAGCTTCGGGCCACTTCTTAGTCGTTAGGGGGCCACGGCATCACGGAGGGGGAATGGAACCGCAGCAGGCTCAGGCGTTTTAGAAGAGTTGAGTTGCGTAGAATCCGAGTTAGTTGCGATTGAGTTTGTCCTACTGTACATAATGCGAGACAGTGGGGGCGAGGTGAAGCTTTGATGCCTGTGGATAAAAGAAGAAAAGTTGATGGTGGATAGTAATTGGATGAGGCTTCGCTGGGGAATATGCAAGTAAAGATCGCGGTCTGAACTCGACTCCAATGAAGTATGTTATGTAAAGATCTGAAAAAATCGAGTTCAACAAAATCAGACCGAAACATATTCACCTTCCAACTAAACCTTCTAGTATAAAGCTTAAGATTGGATAACTTTACACCTTGTAAACTTCATAAATATAGTTGCTACTTTTATATGTATATAGTGAGACTTTGTAGGAGAGGAATTTTGAGAAGGTAGTGACCTGAAGGTGGACAAAACAAGCTGTTTCATGTGGCTGGAGCTTCTGCAACTACCAAGTGATCGTTCGAACTCCGGATTATAATGAGGAGAGGAGATTGTCTCTAGTTGTGTTGGCACATCTCATAAGCACGCGGCTGACTTTCTCCAAAGCCGAAATCGTGCAAATCTTAAATTACTGTGATTCACGACAAAATCCAATGGCATTTTCGTACTCGGCTTCCTGCACCGAACCGAATTGAAACGTAGACACAATACCACCAAACACATACTTATTCGCATAAAATTAGATATATAACGCACTAAAAAGAATGAATATATAATATCATAGTATTTTCCTTTGCTCAAATAGGCATTTAAATAATCATTTCTGATCAGGTCGTAAATCCGATAAACCAAAAATATATAATAAATTTTATATCATATAAATATCATTTAAGAATAATATAATTTATAAGAATAATACTTAAGTAAATAAAAGCTTTTCTTGATAAAGTACCAAAAATTTATGATCATTAAGTTATAATACACCTAAATAATTAAATAACCTATATTTGAGTAGCTGCGCCGGGGGCCGCAGGGCCGAAGAGAAGCCCGCTGACATGGGGGAGTCCTGATTTTATTAATTTGCTCGCAGTTTTATATGAGTAAGAGCTATTCAAAAATATTTAACTTTTTTGCTTTATATTTTATAAATTATATTTACATTTTTTCATATTACAAATAATTATGTCATTATTATAATATTTAAATATATAAATATTTATTGTTACGTCAATCCGGCTTCGAAACGCACCCGGTCGACCCGGTCGAACCATCAAACAGCTACACTCTTCTTCTTGCCGGTTCATCTGACCGTCCGCTATTTCAAAGCCTTGAGAAATAATTTAGTTGAAATTTTTTTTTCCTATTTAAATTATTATATTTAAAATATTAAAAATAAAAATTTTATATTAAAAACAATTTTTTCATTTATAACTTTTTTTTAAAAACGAAAATAAAATAAATTTAAGTTAATGTTGAAATAATTAAACATTTTTTCAAACAATTTTTTATATTTGTGAAAATAAGATTTATAACACTACTTAATTATTTTAAATATTAATAAAATTAATTTCGAAATATTAAGAACTATTATAGTTATTTAAGACATACATTTTAGTTACTTTAATATAAATATATATATATATATATATATATATATATAATTTGCTAATAACATTCCAATATTCGCATTTATTAATCATTGTTGATTGACACATATTTTATATGTGTGATATCTCACAACTAGTCATCTATCACGAAATAGTTCATGATTGCAAAAAGTCTTCCACAATCCCCTTGGGAACATCTATTTTCATCAAAATGGAAAGATATCCCTTGGCAAATGGATTAGACTCAAATGCCTACTTTGTCCTCTTTCACACCCTTTACAAGGAAAGAGGACTTTTTCACACAGTGATGCAAAATCGAGCTTCGGCTTCTAGGAACAACACTTTAGTTCCCTGAAGCACAAATCATTCTCTTCTTCTCTTAAGCCTAATTTTTATTCAAGAACTCAAGCTTCTCCCACTACCTCTTCTCCTGGCTCTATTGTCTTCATTAGAGGCTCACTAGTGGCATTTAAGAAGCACCTAATAATAGAAGCACCAGCCCTTATGGGTCATCAAAACTCACACGTTAGAAATAAAATCAAGCTCCCTTCCTACTTTCCTATTAGGTGTGCCTTTCTTGACCTTCCACGCACTTTCATCAATTCAACAGCTCGGTGGATCTCCTTATAGTCATTGCACTACTGTGAGGTGGTCCAATAACCCCTTGCATGCCTAATGCTTTCTACAAGTTTTTCTTTGTGATTCGGATGAGGTTTTGATGCCCAAATTTAGGAAGTTAGGGAGCCCCTAGTGGCCTAACAAGTACCTTGTATTGTCTTCAATGATATTATCCTCTAAAGTACATTCAACATTCTCAGGATTGTTGAAGTGATCAGAGTACTCGTTGAAGTTGCCAAGAGCATTCGATGAAGCATTCTAGAGTACTCGTTGATGAGCCACCTAGTGTAGTCATTCACAATGGTGCCCGAATGTTGAGTTGCTTAGAGTACCCTTAGATAATGACCTCAAGCACTCAAAGAAAGCCTCATGCTTGCCTGTACATTGGATGACTCATCATTCAATATTGTTTGGGATGTTGGGTAGAACCTGACATTATTTGGTGCAACCTAGCATCCTTCATTCCAAATGATTTGGGGCACCCCACTCATTGTATATTGCATTAGTGAACCCTTTGATAAACTGATAAATCCTTTCTCTCTATTTTTTTTTATAAATTTTCTCTATGATGTTTACATTATACTGCTTAAATTGATATAATAAGGATTTAGAGATGTATTTGAAAAGAAATATAATATATTTCCTTAATAACGAGTTAATAAAGTATCTCTTTTGATTGATGTAAGGAATTTTTTTTTCGTGGAATGACTTATAACCAAAATATGTATAATGCTATGATTAAAGTGCCCTACTGTAATAGGTTAGAGGCTTAAGTCGGTGAAGCCTGTGACATTCATTGTTTTGCTTACTCTATCCCATTACGTGATCGCCTTTATGGCTTTTTTGTAAATTAGTTAGAGATTTACCACTTTTCACATATGATAGCAAATAATGTTCAATGTTGTTCAAGGCATTATTTGAGTAGGCTATTAGGGTAAATCTTCTTACAAAAAGCTGAAATAAACAAATGCTTTCAAAATTGTTTGGCTATCTTGTCTCACTTCTTACAAAATTATAATGCAACAAGATTAACAATACTCTAAGCCACTGAAGGCTCTCATGCTTATTTTGCATCATGGTGTAGGCCATGTGCCTTTACTTACAAATATCAGACTACTCGGCAAATGCCTATCGGCGTACTTTATGCTACAATCTTGAGATGTGTTTTCATGTTGGTCTAGATAATCTTTCGTCTACATAAAAGAGCCCCCTGCACATGTCATGTCATCTTGCATGCAAGGCAAAATTGTAAGATCCATTTCCTCTTTGTTTGTTAGCCTATGGTGCATTAATGTTCAGACTTATGACATAGCTTTAAATTACGCATAGGTGGGAGTTATAGGCATTTGTCGTCCAAAGGATATAATACCTGTTGTTAGCTTACTTAAACTTTGATTAGACTTAAAAGTGGGTACTCATCATGCTCTTTGTTGAGCCCCACTTTCAAGTTAAGACATTTGACCTAATGGTGAGATTGTGCGGCCAATCTAAATTTTTTCGCTCTAATTGCTGAGGGAAAGTGCTTCAACAACTTGACCTTCGATTAGACTTACATCTGAGTTTGTTCCTTGGAAAAAATTGAGCGCCGAAGTGCAAATTTAATATAGGAGGAATTTCAATGAATGAATGATCACTAAGATTATTTGTAAGAAAGAAACACCTGTGCCTGACTCCTCTTTCCTTTGGATTCGTCTTCTCCATTTCTCTTTTTGAGGATTTTTATACAAATCGCCATTCTTTTTTTCACCAAGAAGCAATTGAAGGGTAAGTCATCCTCATCATCACCAAACCATAATCTTGCTCTTGTCATCAAGATGAGTCAGCGGCTTCCACATCCTCATCACTAGTGTGGGCTTTGTTTTGCTTTTCTCTTAGCATGCAGGTGTTTATTGCATTTACATATTTTTACACTCAAATATGATGTTAGCTTGAATGAAATTTCTCTCATTTTTTTTGTTGGGTGGATGGGTAAATTTTTTTTTATGAAAATTGGATATCTAAATAGTTGTTAAGTAGAAATCGCTAGCATGGATAAAAAACTAAGATTGTCATAACTAGTCCCAACAAAAGAGGATTGAGCAAACAAAAAGGAAAAAAAAAAGATAATGAAATTAGAAATTGTACACCCAATGTCATATGGGTTAAGGCAACCAAGTCATATACCATCATGCATTAGGTTCAATTAGCCATCAAACGCTTAAATCAATTTGTCAAAGGCCTTAAGTCACTCAAACAAGTGTTCCTATTTAAGTAACCTGGATGAACTTGCCTCTAAGCTAGAGTGAATAGAAGAAAGAATATACTTGCCCATGGAATTCACAAAAGAAGTCTTTAAAGCTGCTTGAAGAGGCTCGACTACTCAGAATGTACTCTCCAAGAGAACTCACAATTTATTTTTTCAAAGAAACTTGCTATTGCACTTTCTAGAGAGTTCTACAAAGGAAACTCTTCCTCAAACAATCTTATCCTTAGCTTGGAGCTTATCAACGGTTACCAAAGTATTTGGACATATATATGCGAACAAGACTTGAGAAATATATAACAAGCATTGTTGTGTAATTTTACTTGTATTATTCAATTATAGTCATTTCTTTTGATTTGAACTTCAACCTAAATCTATAAGTAGTGTGTCAGAGGCCGATTCCAACACATTTTGATTGAGTTTGTCTCTCTAATTTTTCCTTCTTCTCCTTATTTCTATGTTAGGCTTTATCCATACTTGTAAGTGATGCTATGCTGTTATGGTGTCACCCATAGATAAATTTGGATCCAGTAGAAGTTCAAACTAGTAGAGAGATGTCCCTATGGTAGATTTTGATCTTGAGATTATGATAGTCTAGAGAATAATAGTTGACAAAATTGATGCCTTGACCTTTTATTCTTGAAGAAATGACTTCTATGGGTAAAATTACATGCAATCGGATAATTCTTTTGGAATAAGATTCAATCATTAAATATCATGGCACGATGTAAGCATGTTATAATGCATGAGGTGCCACTTTGGCTTTCATAATACCATCATGTTGCTTCTTGTAACACCACACAATTTGTCCTGTTTCAATTCATGTCTTTTTAGAGATATTTAATCTTCTGAGACATTCTTCTTGTATTCAGCGTTGATTATATTCTTCTTGATTTTATAATCATTAGGTAGATTTGGGTGATTAATATTTTTGTTTTTTGTTCACTTTAATTTACAGGGCAATATTTACAATTACGAATATCATGACATTATTTCATCTTTCTTGTAGCTGAGCATTGTTATTTTGAAGCCCAGGGGATTAACTTCTTGTTTTTGCTATCATCTTACAGGAAACATTTCACCCAATAGAAGTCACAACTGGTCTCTGGATAGTTCCAAAATGGAAAACTCCTCCAGTATGATTCAACATAGACCATAACTCTTCAATTTCCTTCACATATGTTGGCCTTATCTTAGAATATTATTCTTTTATTTTGGTATTTTGAGTACATTATTCATTATGACACCTTTGACGCTTGCTTGAAGAGCATATTTTTTATTGTTGAACTAAAAGATAGATCAAAGATTTGGTGTCAAATATAAACAGTAAATTATGCTTTACTCCGTGTTTTATGATGCTTTAATGAACATGCTATCAATTTCCTCTTCTTTGAAGCCTTCTCTTAAAGATATGTGATTCATGGCAGGTTCACAAGTATCATTTTCAAAAAATGAAAATATAAATTTTCAAAAAAAAATGAAAAGAAATTTTGAAGTAGTGACCATTGGAATTCCTACGTTGTTTATATGTATTTTTTAGATGTTGTTCCAATGATCTAAAATCGAAAGTACTTAAAAAGTATTTTCTATGATAAAATATTTCAAGGCTTCCTCAGGATTGTTCTTATGCTTTTATATGAGCTAATGAGGATTGAAATTTTATGGATGCTTAATTTTGCCTCATAAATTGAATGAGAAAACATAGAAACTGCTTGAGAATTTTTTACAATGTTAGAATCTTCTTAGACTTGTGCAAGATAATCTTTTATTCTATGAGCTAATGATGATTTAAATTTTATTGATGCTGAAGTTCTCCTTTTAGATTGAAATGTTTAAACATCAAATTAAATTTATTGATGATCAAATTTGCCTCATTGATTGAACTAGTAAAAGTCAAATTATTTGTGATACATGGCAGGTTCAAAATGCAACCAATATTGTCCTCAGTCCAGGAATGGCTTTCGGGACTGGTGAACATCCTACAACTAAGTTGTGTTTATGTTTGTTGCATAGCTTGATCAAAGGAGGGGAAAAGTTTCTTGACTATGGCACAGGCTCTGGAGTACTTGGAATTGCAGCTTTGAAGGTTAGAATGTTTTGTCAGTTACCTATCCATGTCTTTAACAACAACAAACACAATTCTCTGTTACTAATGAGAATTGGCCATGTTGAATGCTGAAAAAAGATAATTTCTTTTATGAAGATTATATCCATGATAGGGTTTTATTTGACATAATAAAATGATTGTTTTTCAGATAAGAAGATTTAGTGGAGTGAGGAGAAGAGTAATATATGTGCTTTTATAGAATGACAAAGATATAACACCTGAATGCACAATTACTTTGAGAGAGCCAAAAATTTACAAAAAATTAAAATCCAATGTTGGATCTTTTGATGATTGGTGTAGAAAGCTAGGCACTATATAGTGGGAGATTGATAGATATCAAAATGTTAAGTCCAGAGAAATTGCGATCTAGAGACTCCAGTCAAGTAAGACGTATTAGAAATGAAGATGATCTAATCTCAGTAAAAAAACAAAAAATTAAGACATCAAATGAATATAAAATTGCTGCTTTGAGACATTAGATTTTATTGATATGTAGTGCACAGTTTGATAAATTGCAAGCATCATAGCTAGAACAGTACAAATAACATTAACAACTTAGGTTTCAAGTGTCCCAAAAAAAGTACAATTGTGAATTCTAGAGCTATGATTAGGGAGAATTTGTATGGCACTTCCAATAGATATAATAAAGGATTATCTTTCGTCCTGTAACTTTGAAAATAATTTATAACGAAAGAATGAGTTACACAATCAATCAACCAAAAACAACCCTTGATGTAATAAGAGCTAGGGAGTAATTTTTTCTTATGATATAATGATATATCAGATTTAGTTAATTAGATATCTCCTGATATTGGATCAACTTTAATCTGGTCTGGGCCGAAAGTTCTTATGGGTGTTAGTTCTCATTATTAATTTCCCTAGATGATTTGCAATTGGGAGGTCATTTAGGCTCAGTTATGAGCTTACATGTGATTAGAATGTATTATATGATCCTATGGTTCCGTTATTCTTGGTCTACCAATGCATCCAATCATCGAACTTCAAAGTTTTTAAGTCTTAACATCCAGAGAGCCTAATTAGCAAGCATGAGTTGCCTTCTCTTAAATATATTGAGCATTTTGTAGTGAAACTACATGCCCAAAAAAACTTTCTAAATTTCCTCTTAAATTAGTAATGTCAGTAATTACTTCATGAAATAATTCTAACAAATTTTTAAGAACAAGGGCTTTAGTTCGTGCTTTAAAATTGAATTTTCTTCTATTTCATGTTTTATTTTGTTTGAGAAAGCTAATACAATAAATATCATGAAAGAAAACATATTATTTGTTTCAGCAGCTTTTGATTATTTGTGTTACATTAATATTTGATTGGCTTCTATTTATCTTGTATTGTTTATAGGAATATTCATGGAAGCAAAGGCATTCTTGCTCTTTCTTCTTTTAATTGCAGATGGGTGCTGAATTTTCAGTAGGAATAGATGTAGATTCCCAGGCAGTTGCATCTGCTCTTCAGAACATTGCCTTGAATGAGATAGAGACCGATAAAATGAAGGTTTATTTGGTTTCTGGAGTTGAAAGCTCAAATAGAAAGGAACTCTCTGCTGCAAAGTTGAATTTCGATATTGTGATTGCAAATATACTTCTGAATCCATTGTTGGAGCTTGCAGAGGACATAGTTTCCTATGGGAAGCCTGGTGCAGTAATTGGTCTCTCTGGAATAATATCAGAGCAGGTACCTTTCTTTCCTCCAGAACTGCATATCGTCATGATGGCCATGTTATTTTTGTTCTGGATTTCTGTTTATCCTTCCAGACTTTAGTTTTATCAATTTTAATGAAAAAAATAAGTTCTTTAAGTTGGTTATATATAAGGTGATATGTTAAGCATACTAAATTTAAGCATATTGAAGGACACTGTAGAGACTTCACCATAAATTTTATAAAATTGCAGTGGATTTGATGTTGTATGAATTTGAATATAGAATAAAAATAGCATTTATATCTGAGTCCAGTGGAAAACTGAGACTGTCAAGACTAATACAACAACAACATAAAATCTTTGTCCCACTACGTGAATCCTTTTTCACCGTTGTGTTCTGTTAAAAGTCAAATTCTCGTTTAAATCTAATAAAGAAAGATCATTTCTAATATTTTCTAACCAAGTCTTTTTAGGTCTACCTCTACCTTTCTTAACATAAGTCAAATCTAATACCTCTACTTTCCAAACCAGATCTCAACCAATCATTCAGTAAAATCATTGAGATTGTCAAGACTAATGTTTGTAAAAATTAAGAAGGATAAATTTACAAATGATTTTACTGAATGATTGGTCAGCCTGATGTAAGAGGATAGAAAATAGATTTGTATGATTTGGACATGTACAGCAAAAGGATAGATACCGAGCCTATTTGACGTGTATGTAAAATTAGTGTTAGAGCATTGAGAAAGGAAAACATAAGGTTGTATGAATAAAAGCACTTTGATTTAAGCTTTGTTTGGAACAACTTTTTTATTGTTTTTTAAAATAAAATTTAAAAGCAGCTTTTTAATAAAAAAATATTTAAATTAGAAATTTTTCTACTAAAAAGCTAATTTTAAAAGCAATAAGAAAGACATCCCTAATAAAGCTTTAATGATGGGAATTGAAACCGGCACCAAATTTTAAAACTGTGGTTCAGAATGCTTTGCAGCTTCTCGCAACGCAGTACTTCAATCTCCTTATCATATGCAATATTACTTAATTTTCTGTCTTTAAGTAATCCCATTATTATGTTTCAATCTTCATTGCTGCCTACCATGCTCTTTGCTTATGTGCAAATTGGCATAAGGCTTTGTTTGGGATAGCTTTCTAACTGCTTCCTAAAACGGTTTTCTGGTATAAAACTATTTTAGAAAGCAACAAAAAAACTGTCCCAAACGAAGCCTAAATCACAATGCAATCTTTCTATCTTCTCATCATTTCTGGTTGATTGTGCAGATAGAGCAAATAAAAGAGCGTTTCTCATTGTATCTGGATGAAATTTCAGTTGCTGAAATGGAAGGCTGGGCTTGCATCCATGGAATCAAGAGGTAAGCCTGTTGCTGGCTGTTATGATGCATTCATGGCTCAGAAAATTCTTTCTTGTATGATTCTCTGCTACACAATTTGAAAACATCTGGATCAGAATATTCTAATCTAAATTTGATAAATATGATTTTATAATCATTAAATTTATTGTCTGAAAATATATAATTAATTTATGAATTTGTATTACATTTATCACAAGAGATTTAATACGTATAAATATGTTGAAGAAATTTGGATTAGGATAATTCTAATGGAGCTGATCCGGGTCGGGTACTACTCATGCGGGTCGCCCGATCTAGGAGTGTAAACGAGTCGAGTCGAGCACGAGTCACCCTTAACTTGAACTTGATTAATTAATAGAGTATGAGCTTGAGCTGACTCATTTATTATGAAATACAAATAATTATGATTTAAGCAATTATTAATTTATTAAAATAAAATGATAAAAAGAATGTGAAATTATATGAAAAATAATAAATAATGATTTAATATAAGAAATTATAATATAATTTTTAAATAAGTTTAACAACTTTGTATTTAAAATCCTGAATTTTATATTAATATTTTTTAAACGAGCCACCTCACGAGCTTATGAGTCCAGTTGGGGCTATCTCAAGTTTAGCTCGTTAGCCCATCGAATTCAGTTCATGAGCTATTTATCGAGCTGAGCCCGAACTAGCTCAGGAGTTAGCTTGACTCGTTTACACCTTTAGCCCAACCTGTTAAAGCAATGAATGCCCACATAAAAATACATTGTTATTAAATAAACTATATTAAAATATAAATATTTTTAATAAGAGAGCACTTGAATAAGAAAAAAATATAATTTTAAATAATTTAGGAACATATTAAATGATTTTTTATATTTTTTTAAATATATTTATTATTACTATTGTGTAAATGTATCAGCTCATAAGTTGTTACATTATTTCTTCAATTAATAAATAAAATAGCCATCGATTTCATATAAAGGCATATTCATTAGCCAGATAAATAAAGAAAAATAAATGAAAATCCTAGTTTGGACTTTGGATCCATATGCGAAACCATGATCGAGAAGAAAATTTATATGACAAAGGCTTGACTTGGGACAATTTTTTTATTACTTATGCAAAAAAATAATTTTTTATGCTAAAAAATTGCTTTAAAAAGCAATTACGAACAAAATCTAAAATTTTATTTGGAACAACTTTTTTACTATTTAAAACAATTTTTTAGCTTAAAAATTAAATTTTGTTACTAAAAATTAATAAGAAAGTCATCCCAAATAAAACCTAAAACTTTGTTTGAGAAAACTTTCTTAATGCTTTCCAAATATATTTTTTGAAACCAAAATTTTTAATTCAAAAATTTTTAATACTAAAAAATGACCATTTCGACCCACTGAGCCCTGAAGAGAGGGAATTTTTATTGCGTCCTCCCACCTGACGTAGAGATACGTCCTCCTAGAGCTAAAATAGTGCTAAAAAATGAGAAATACCGAGCAATACCAAACAATAACGAGGAATATCATCATGTGAAAACCAATACCGAGTTATACCGAGCAATACAAAAAAATACCTAGTTTTTCCTAGAAAAAACTTGGTATTTTTTTGTATTGCTCGGTATAGGTCTTCACATGATTATATTCCTCGTTATTATCAAATAATACGTAACAATACCGAGCAAAAACTGAGTTTTTTGGTGGTGGGAGGACGTATCTCTACGTCAGGTGGGAGGACGCAATAAAAATTTGAAGAGAAGAAGCAGCACATATAGTTAAAGGAGCAAAGACGGGCACTCAGATAGAAATACTCCATATTCTTAAATACAATACCTTTTCCAGGGAAAAATATATAAATATTAATATATAAAACTCCCATCATTATTGTATCGATCTATACCTTTTTAAGGATTAATCCCATTAATTACCATTTTTTGGTGGAGGTGACTCTAAATATTCAATATGCTAACATTAAAAACTTAGAAACTTGTTTAATTAAGGTTTTATTTGGGACGGTTTTCTTATTGCTTATTAGAACATCATTTTAGCACAAAAATTAAAATTTTTATAAAAAAAAAAATACTGCTCAAAGAAGTAGTAAGAAAGGTATCACAAACGAAGCCTAAGAATGAAATTAATCATCTTAGAACATTTGAGATTAAGGTTTCGTTTGAGATGACTTTCTTACTGCTTTTAAAAATAGTTTTTTATTACAAAAATTAAAATTTTTGTGCTAAAAAACCACTTTAAAAAGTAGTAAAAAAGCAATTCCAAATGAAGCCTAAAATGAACCCATTTAAAAAGTCATGAAATCATATTGATTATTTATGCAAGCAATTTACTATGCAGATGCAATACCTTTATGAATGAAAGCCTTGCATATACAACAAGAATCTCATCAGTCATCTCCAATGAAAGAAATGCATTAGTTTCCATTTATTTTTCATACTGCGTGTTTTTCAACAAATAGAAGTACTTTTTTTTAATAACAAATGAATCATATCAAGCAGCCTAAGGCATCATTTGGGACGGTTTTCTTACTGCTTCTTAAAACAGTTTTTTAGTATAAAAAGTTTTGTACTAGAAAGCTGCTTTAAGAAGCAGTAAAAAAACCGTCCCTAATGAAGCCTAAGTCTGCAGAATTTCTAATCAGTTACAAGTCGTGGGGGAGAACCTTGTTTGGAGGGATATCTTGCCTTCTCTCCACAAAAGCTGAAGGGAACCACCCTGCCTTGCCCTTGCACTCACCCTCTGACCATCCAGATTGATCAACCTGCACCTCAATCCAAAAGAAATATTAAAATGATGATATTTAATACTGATATTTGTTCTTTTTGTCCTTCGCAAAAACTGGAAGCAAAAACTGGAACAATTGCTAATCTTATGTAGTTTGCATATTTCCACATGGAAAAGACCTTAGATTTTCTTTAATGGTGGAGATGGTCACTTCAACACGACTCCTTGTAATGTGGAGCATCCCTTTGATTATTTGGACTTGATTCCTTGAAACATGGAGTGTAGTTTCACCAAAATCTATGATGCAAAGATACGGCGACACGGATATGGACACGGGACACGTCAATTATTAAAAATATAGGACATGGACACATATTTGATACGGTATTATAATTTTTATGTCTTAAAATAATTTATAAAAATTAAGTAGAATATTAAAAATAATTGAAAAATAATAAATTATTTAACTTGGATTTGTACTTAAGATGATTAACAATAGGATGTCAAGAATTGAGCATCGATGTCGTTTTTCAAGTGTCGAGAGGGGAGAGGGTAATGCTATTAAGAGTTAGGCATTGGGCATCAATGTGGAGACAACGTCGGTCATCTATGTTAAGATGATATTGGTCATAGAAGAGATGTCAAAACAGTGAAGGGGCATCATTGTAGGGGTAAAAATTGCTGATGTCAAACTTTGATTTTCAGATTATTTTGAAACATTGATGTTGTGACAATGTCAGGAGTCGATGTTGTGAAATCCTAGCTGACCTGCAGATAGAAATGAAAATGGTATGTTCGGGGAATACGGTATTGAGTGTGGGCAATTGATTTGGAGTTTCTAAGAGGAAATAAAAAAAAAATAAGTTTGATATTTTTTAATAATAAAAATTTAAAATATAAGAAATTATATTATTTATAAACATTTAAGACACGCACATCCAATTTATTTTTAATATTTTTTTAGTTGAACACATCTTTGACATGTCTAATACGTATCAAAGGAGTGTCGAACGTGTGTCGTGTCTGAAACGTGTTCGACACCACATACCTCATTGAGGAGAATATCGGTACTAACAAGTGGGAGATAATATAGGTACTCTCCTACATTAGCGTGAACAAAGTTCTCATCTTTCGGTACTAACTAGCATGGATGTTGAGAGAACTATAGAATGAAGCACCCTATGACTTGGCTTTCCTTCAATCGGTTAATCGAGTAAAGGGTTACCATCACATTCGTCAGAGTGGGATAGTGTGTCTAAGCCTTGCATTTGATCAGTCAGAGATAGATGACAATACCAACTTGCCCCCATGGTGTTCAATCAATTGCTCATCTTAAAAAACATACGACCATGCATGGTCTTATTTTGTGATTTTTTATTATTAAATATGTAAATCAGTCCTTAGTTGAACCTTTCTAAGGTATCAAATATAAAGGATGTGCGGAAAAAACTATATTCAAGCTTCCTAAGGGGGGCTTAACATTAAATATTTTAAAACAAGATGAACGAAGTGGATATGAATGCAAGTACTAAAATAAATAGATCTTCAAGATAGACCTAGCAAACATTAGGTCATGAGTAACTTATAAAATCAAGTTGCAATCAATTCCAGATTTTGTACTCAAGTTCCTTTACAGTATATGATCAATTGTGGGGACCAACAAAAGCGGAAAGTTTGAAACATTACAAATTAAGCAATACGAACAACAAGAGAATGCTTTAATAACACCCAAATTTTATCAAATAATGGTCAAACTTCACTATCTATTGACCCAACAAATCAAACACAACAAAACAATAAAGAAAACTGTTGTAGACAGCAAGAACAATGCTGAAATTAGAAAACAATAACAAGCATGATGAGTTTACAACCAGCATAATAAAACATGGATGGACTTTAGCAACCAACAACAATGTAGTAACACAGACCAAGACTGTTGTTTGAGAACAGCAACAAAAAAAAAAAAAGGTTTGTGGGGTGATAGCCAAGGAAAAAGAAGTTGCATCAATAGGAAAGTGATGGACCGGCCGATTTGATTGATAGAGAATTAGGAAATTTCCTAATCAAGAGAGAGTTGTTTAGGAAGGTTCTTAATCAAAGGGGAATTGTTTAGGAATGTTTTAATTACAATTGGAAAGGAATTATATAGGGCACGAGATCTAATTTGAATTCAAATCGAAGAGGGAATTATTTAGGGAAGAGGAGGAATTAAGGGGGGATTATTTAAAAAAGTTTTATTTATAATTAGAAGGGAATTAACTAGGAAAATAAATCTAATTTGAATTCAAATTTGAGAGGGAATTATTTAGGAAAAGAGAGCTGATTTGAGAGAAATATATTTTTAGTTTGCTGAAATTAGAATTTCTTAGGTTGTGAGGGCTTTAGCCGCCGGTTAGGGATTTGGGAGAGCCGGATTTTCCTCTCCAATTGAATATCCAATTGTATCTTGCTGTTTTCTTTCATATATCTAGCAATAAAAAGACTTTTGGTGTATTCTTCCTAATTTCTTATTATTGTTCGCTACTTTCGAAAAAATTGTATCCACTTACTATCAGAAAGGTTGGATGATAAAATGAGGCTCGAACCTATGATTCTAATATCAATCTGACTTCAGATCACCCACAGGATGACCTTAATCAATAAGAATAGCAAGCAACCACAAAACTAGACACTTTTTTGTGTTTAAAATAAGTTCCCTTTAATAGCCTCGAAAAAATATTTGAACTTCCCAAAATTTCATGTCCAAATGTGGCCAACAAAGATAGATGAAGAGAAGCTAGGTTTCATTTTCAAAGAGAAACAAAAAAGAAAAAAAATGAAAGCATTTAATGCAAGGTAAGGATTCCAAGACCTTGGAAATGGAGGCATTTATGATGATTGAGAATTCTAAAATTATAGGAAAAGCAAAACATAGTCGTTTTCAATTAAAAGGAAGAGGTGTCCAACCCAAATGGAGAAAAAATACATAGGAAAAAACTAGGCACAATAATCCATCAACCCAATAACCAAAAAAGAATCATGATCCATAAGAGATCCAAGATACAAAGCATCCTCATTACAATCCTCTCATAAAATAAACATATAATAATATAATAAAAGCAAAACATATAATGATCCAGTGAATGTGGTGACAATCATAATGGTCGGTTATGTCAACGGGTACAAAATGGGAGCTCCATGCTACTAAAAAACAATCACTATTCGTATTAGATACAAAAGGGCATAAACAATATATGAGGCACTTGACAATATAGGGCTTCTAGTACTTGATATATGTAACCATATCCAAACATTATAAATACTATTAATGATTTGAACCTATGACCTATGTGTCACAATAGACGCAATCAAAACAACCATTGCTCCAACTCAGTCCTCCATTGACATTAATCAAAACATGCTACAAAACATTCTTGTAATCTACTAAGAAAGCTGAAAAAATTAAGTAGGTATAAAAGTATAAAATGATGAGCCTAACCTGCCTAACTACAACATAGTCGCCAACAGCCAAGCTCATTTCCTTCTCCGAGATAGCCGTGAAAGGGTGCAATGCCTGCAACAACAAATAGTAAAGATAATCAAATCAGCTTAAGAGCTAGAATTATATTGAAGTCATCTGACCATTAATAGCTTACCTCAGCAAGAAAATATAATGCTTTCTCAGAACGTTTAGGGGTTGGTTGGCTTGTATGGTTAGGAGCTGAAGGAATGGCTGATTCTTTTCTTTGCTTTTCGGAGAGCATCTGCAAATAATTTTAGCGAAAAATTTTAACTTCTGGACTAGCAAAAGAGTAAATGAAGAATGTGAAAAGTACCTCTGCTTCAACATCATCCAGTATAGCAGTTACTCTTAAATGAAATGATTTTTCTGCCTCTACCTTCAATGGTTGCAACCAACAAAAAAACATAGTTAAGTTAAAACCTGCATCGGAACGAATTCAATTTTGCTTGATGTGAAATCAAATACACACCAAAGCAACTAAGCGCTGGAAAGTAAGCCTTTGCTGCTGTGACTCAACAGCAGCTAGTGCAGCAGCAGCTTCCTTTCCAAGGACAGCCATGTTTGCCTTGAGATCTTGCATCTTAGATTCAGATGACTGCAACTTCGAAGTGTTTTCCAGAATAGGAATTTCTTTCACTCGAAATTGCCTTCTAGAAACTTCCCCTACCTATTAACTTTTTGGGATTATTTAAATCTATGGATATGAAAGAAATTAAAGTATGCGACTTACAAAGTGGCACAGAAATTACATCAATATTTTTTTTAAACTGCATATGAACTAAGTCCTTACCTGAACTTCTGCTTCCTGTCTCATCCGACTATAACGCTGAGCAAGATGGCGGGCATCTTCCAAGGCAGTACCTGTAGCCATAGCTCTTAAAGGCTCCATAATCTACAGCATCGTATACATGCACAGTACATTTCAAAATCTTAACAGTTCAAAATTTTCCATATAGAAGAGACAAACACGAGGGGAAAAAAACCCCAAATTTCAAGGCTTACACGTACACGAATGTATTCAAGTGAAAGAAAATATTATTTAGGGTAAAGTGCAACAGAAATCATCAAACTTTATTCTACTTTGCAGTTTGACCATTCACATTCCAAAAATGACTGGAAAATTATTATATTTCCAAATTTGATCATTTTTCAAAGTTAATATCAAATATGTGATAGAAAACTGTTGCATTATATACTAGTGATAAATCAAAGGGTAATATAATCATTAAACCGTTAAAATTCTTATTAAATTTTTAATTCACTTACCGGGACTTGCAAAATGTGAGTCAAGCAATGGATTTATCCGTTTATTAATTGCATTACCCTTAGGTTAATCATTGATAGTTAATGTAATATGTTGTATCATAACAAATTTGATACTTTTCATAAGAAATAATCAATTTGTTATTAAAATTAGAAAAAAAAATGCTTTTTCTGTTACATTCTAAATAGTAATGACCAAATTGTAAATTAGAATAAAATTGAATGGATTTTATGGTACTTTATCTTATTAATTATCATTATATTTGCTGATGAAAAATTAGAACGTGATTATTATACAGAATCTGAGGGTTTCCGCTCTATCACTCAAATGTTGATCAGCTAGATCCACCCCGAACGAAACCATAATAACATCTCTCTCATTAGGAATTGACAAATGTCAAATGAAATGTCCAAAGAGACCAAAGACTGTAGCAGAGATCTGCAAGTCGATCAAATGAATGAGCAAAAAATATACTAGTTTAGTTTGATTTCATAATTTTATTTGGTCCAATCAATGTATTGAACATGCTTGTGCTGATATGCCTACGAGAATGGAATGTTCTGTTTTTTTATACTATTTCTTGTCCACATAACCTCTGGTCTGGTTCAATTAAGTGATTGATAGCATTGGTTCTGGTTGTTATTATTGGCTCAGCCCATGGTTCTTATATTCCTAATATATATATATATATATATTCCTATCGTTTATTTTCTATTGAATTTATCTATTGCTGTTCAGTTATTTAATGTTATTGGAGCTATGCACTGGATAAACTCAGATATGATAAATTGGTTGGCTTACTGTTTAATTTTCAAGTGGACAATTAAGGTGGCTTTTATCGTTTGCTGTCACGGGCCCTTGATTGGGATGATTTGATTCATATATGAACTGCTCCACATCATCCTATTATTGAGATTTATATGATCCTATAGTGGCTCATACTTTGCAGCTTAAATGGTTCCTATAGTGGTTTAGGGGCACGAATTTTTCACAGTTTTACTTTCCAGGCCAATATCGCACTTATATATGACTACAATTTTATTGTTGTTTTTAAAAATTTTGATGAGGAGCTTTTCACAATAAGATCTATTAAAGTGAAAGCTGCCTTCTGACTTTTCTAGAGAAAAAAGTCTATAATATCCACCGCAGCTTCAAAAAATCATATTTTCCTAGTAATAGTTCCACAATTAATTTTAGAAACGGTTGCAACCATTCAAATGGACCTTAAATCTACTATTTTTGCAATCGAGGCAGCTTATTCATTCGAAATTGATGTATATCTTTGTTGTTGAGACGAGGATTCTTCAAATATAGATTGTTAGCATAACCAACCATGTCTACCAATTATGTCTACCCACCCGCTATCTATTGTTGCTATTCTAATATTGTTCAAACTCTACAAATTATGTTGATTAAGACAGGAGACAACCAACTTTAAGAAAATTATATGTTAGAAAAACAAATATAAGGCATTTAAAGGAGGACTATTTGCTTAGTAATCTTTTAAATTCTTCTCAATCTTCCCGATCTTGCCAATCTTGCATACTTGGATGTTGGATTGCTTCAAGTGGATGTGGGATCCGAAAATTCGGCCCCGGCCTCCGCCCGCACTGATGTACTTTTCTTCGGCGAGGGAGTTTTAACGAATTAAGTTTCGGGGTAAATTTTGGAAGGCAGATGGGTTTGTAGATAAGACATTACCCAGAGATTTCGCCCTCATTTTGCGAGGGCTTTATAATCTGAGTTCTAGTTTTCTATAGGAGCAAGCCCCTATAATTAATTACCCCTCTCAATCACGAGAGAGAACTTTCGATTAAAGAGTCGTTAATCAGATACGTATAAAGTACGTGTTATCAGGCGTATAGTAGCAGCATGGGTTTGAAAATTGAAAGTTTGAATGGTTGGAAGATTTGAAAAATTGATATTTAAAATAGAAATTGCACCATCTTGCACTTAAAGCGGATGGTGGGGGAATGGATGATGGACCCGATCAAGATCCCATGGTTCCGTCGTCCCGGGCCATCGTGGTCCCTTGTCTACTTAGTCAGAGGAGGTAGTCGACCCAACCTGATAGAAGGATCTTTGTCGGCAACCATGGGTTGCTTCGTCCAAGGGGACCTTGTAGACCTAGGGTGAATGTTTGTCTAAGGAGACAAATTTGAATCCACCTTTAGCTAACAGAGGGCTTTGTGCCCTATCAATCATACTCTATTGATTCATATCTCAAGGATTTGATGTCATTAAGGAACGTATTGACTCTGACCATAACCGGTATTTCACAGTGCCATTTGACGGCAAAACCACTAAATTCAGAGGGCCCCGAGTCATAACCGTTTATCCTGCGGTGTCATTTGTCGGCAAAACTGCCGATTAGAGGACACATACCACGTCCTTACTAGTAGGAGATTGTTTGAAAATGGATCCTAGTGATATTTTCAACCAGGCATTTGGCTCTATGTGAGCTGAAGTAAATTTTAATTTGTCCACCTCAACAAAGTATTGTGGAGGATAGATGTATATTTGCTTTTAAGTGTTTAATGGTTTGATTTCAGTTTTAAATATCTAGATTTTGGAGATTTTTGAATTTTGTGGGTGTTTGGAAGGCATTTAAAATTATTTTTGGACCCCTCCGGTTGAGATTTTTGTTCAACACAGCTATCATCAGGGTGTTTGGGGTCATTTCTATCCAAAAATATTTTCATTTTATGGATGAACCTTGTCAACTCTGTTGGGTAGTCAACAGGAATCGAGTTTCTCGTGCTTCATGCCTTTGTTTGTGAATTTTCTTTGTTAAAGGGCTTGAAGGCCTAATATAAATATATAAAATAAATATTACGGTCAACTTAGTGGCCGCATATTTATCGATGGTTCGAACCATGTCCACTCCTATTTACTTGCTTAGGAGGATCGAGTTTCGTAGGCTTTATACTTTTATCAGTGAATTTTCTCAATTATAAGCATTGAAGACCTAATATGAATGTATTAAAATAAATACACCGGTCACCACAACTGTATATTTGATTGCTGGTTCGAACCCTGTCAACTCCTATTGATCCATATAAAATGATCGGGCTCGAACTTGAATTCACTTATTGACCTGCGTAGCATCTCTAGACGTCACATATGTACCAATAACACGCTCGCCGGGGCCCATGCGGGTGTTTTGGAAATTTCATCGTTTGGTCATACCCTTTGTGTACTTATGTGTATACAAAACTACGGTGCATGTACAGTGGTATTTTGAAATAGTTGTAGTTGTGCGGGTAACTGCCATTTGGGTGCACACAACTTTTCATTTGAGGGTTTATATACGCCTTTTGTCCGCTAATACGAGTGTTGCGGATTCGATGGTGGTGTTATTTGGATATCATGAGGTATCTCACCATCTTGATGTTGACTCCCCTTTCTCGTTCACCGGAGAATTCTTTTTGAAGTTTGTAACCTTAGCTTTGAAATGGACTCTTTCAAGTTCTTTAGTGTAGTAGACTTGTTACTTCTGGTGTTTGTGGATATCATAGTCATTTCCTTCCTAAGGTTATAACCAAGAAGAAACTTTGGAATATCAGGAAGTTTAGTTCTAATTTGTTCAAGCATCCCTTCCGTCCTGCCGGGGGGGGGGTATCCTTTTTCGTATATCGAGTTGCCTTCATACCCGACATAATTTGCAGCATCTTAATCACCGTTATTGTGGGTGACATCTGTACTTGTGCCCATAGTGGTTCATTGTACTTACTATATATCCACTATTGTTATCCACAAGCGGTCGTATTCATTTGCAGGAACCCATTGTATCCACTACAACCTCCTAGAAATGTTCGTAGGAGAGCCATTTACACCAGTATCATATCCACCTTTCACTAATCTCAGGTGGTTTTGATATACTTGCTTGCAAGGATGAATCTTCTACTATCAATTGACAATATTGCCATCTCAATCTACAGGCAACATTGCTTGTGCTTCGAGTTCTTCGTTCTTGCATATAGAAGGCATTTATACTCTTTACAGTAGATTGGTATTATTTGGACTTGATTGAATATCATTACTCATATGCATTGAAATAATTGTTGCATTCATATCTTGGCCCACATTAATACAGGTGGGAGATACTCGTACATTCTACAGTTAATTGTTATTACTTGTAAGCACAATGCTTTTGACATCGTAGGAACTGTTATAGAAGTCCACTACATTTGTCGTTGTATAAACCAGCATCATTCATTGTGCGCTTATGTATTCAAGTATTGATGATTGGTTTTTGTTTGTGATTGCTCAGATGTTATGAATTGAGTATTGCTCCTTGTTTGTATACATCGAGGTCTTGTTCGTCACAAGTCCCCTGCTTGTTTGCTTATATTTGTTCGAATGCATTGAATTGTTATTTGACATTTGAATTTTGATCTTGATTATACATTTTAGGATTTGGGATTCAATTTCTTGTAGTTCAGTTCAAGTCCAAGTCCTCTGTTGTTCGTACAAGTCCTCTGCACATTTAGTTCAAGTTCTATGCATTCATGTCCAAGTATGGGTCCTCTGCATTGTTGCTCAAGTGAAGTTTTCATATTGCTCAAGCTCTATACACTTCAGTGAAAATTTTGACAGCACCCCGACGTATCCCCTGTTTGGGAAAA